ACTAAATCTGTGTCGTTTATACCCAGAGGATAGACACTACTACATAATTAATGATGTTTTAGCTGTCAGTGATTTTCAGCTTAATTAAAACAAACTAAATCTTTTAAGAGAGGAACTCCCAAGTCTATCAGTGCTGAGCAATAATTTCCATTAAGTCACAAATTATGTATGGTCCTTGTTAGGGCTTAAGTAAAAACGCTGCAGGTTCCCTGAAGGGCACAGTGGCAGAAATGCTGCAGGTCCCTGAGTGACGGCAGTGGGCAGCAGGCCTCAGGTCATAAGACCATGCCACAGGTCCCCAAGCAGCGGTGGGCAGCGGGCATGAGACCACGGTGGGCCACGAAGGCAGACAGTCCTATGAGGAGCTGCAGCCGTGGTGGGTGAGAGACAGACAAATAGACACACCATGCAGAGTGAGGTTGGATATTTATTTAGTGGGTTATGGAGGGGAAAGGAAAGGGAGAAGTGGGGAGACGGGAGAGAGGCAGAAGCTGCCTTTCTCGAGACTCGGGTCTGCCTGCCTCAGAGTTGGGAGGGGGTAGGACAGGACATACCATTATGATGAGGATCAGGAGTTCAAGGTCAGCCTGAGCTATGTGAGACTCTCACTCAAAGAAATGAAAAGTATAGTCCAGTCCTTAACCAACTGAAGCATTTTGAGGAAAGTAGCCCCCCACAGTGGGATCAGCAAGTAATTACCCATATGGTCAAGTCAGCTGAGATGTCTACAGGAAACTACTGGCAATTATTTGATTAGTACACTGTGCAGTGTTAAGAGTGTTCTATCAGAAACACAGACAGATGCATTTCTGCCTTACAACTGTGTTAGAGTTTTTTGAATAACAGTAAATTCACAAAGTGTAGTAGTTTCATTGGTTGCAGTTTGCCAAATAATCCTGTTTTCATTGACAGCTGAGACAAACTAGTTCTTTTGTTCCCATTGTAATTACTAATATTAACACTCAAATCATGCATTATACATCATCTAGTAATATCTCTATACATACATGTAGGCTACAGAGGTTAAAGAGGTCCTAGCAGAATTAAAGGAGTTGCAAAGAAGCCTGGGAAGCAGAAGCTGGTGAAGAGGCAAAAAAGTAACAGATCATCTCAAACAGGGGCCTGCTGGAGATACTGCCACCACCTTAGGATCAGAGTTAAGCTGTAAAAGTGAGGTGTGGGGAGGCTGGAGAGGCAAAGGATAGAACCAGATCCAGGTAAATATATGGGAAGATGGTTGATGGCAGGTCCAGACGGTACTGGGTTGGAAGGAGAGACAGCAGTTGGAGCAGGTTACATCATAGACCAGGCCGACCTGAAATCCCTGAGACAGTCGGGAGTTTTCTGCTTTTGGGTGCCTTGGTGCACACCAGGTGGTCAGATGACGGGTTGATATGGCCATCGCATCACAGTGTGGGGTGCCTACCTCTGTATAGGTTCCATTTGAGGGAGCTGCACCTTTTCCCCAGTCTGGAAATGCCAGGCTTGACTTTCCTGGTGATGACTTAATATGCTCTTAAGCTTCTGTGGTCCTCATTTACTTTGATAAATTTACAGGATGGCACCCTTTCTATTTTTTATCAGCTCAATTTGAGTCTATGGGTGGTGCCAGGCAGATGGTATTTGTTTACAGTGTCCATCCAAGTACAGAGTTATCCTACATTCTCATAATGGAATCAAATACTGCTTATAAAATGGAGTCTCTTGGGACAGGGCATAGCCTAAAAAGATCTGGGTTTTTGCTTTTTGTTTTTGTTTTTTGAAACAAGGTTTTTCAAAAATCACTTTTCCACAGTAAGGAGTACCTTAGAGCAGGACACGGTTTGATCTCATCTTACAGTTCTTAAGAATTGCATCTGTTCATTTGGGAGTTCTTCACAGTAGTTTCAACCTTTGGTTGTTCTTGTAGAGAAGGTGCTTACAGCTGTGTTCTAGTTGCCTTTCTGTTGTGACAAACACCATGACCAAAGGAAACTTGAGGAAGAAAGAGCTTATTTCAGCCTATAGGTTACAGTTTATCATTGCAAGTTACCAGAGCAGAAACCTTGGAAGGAAGCTGCTTGCTTGTTTACTCCCTCTCACTTGCTCAGCCAGCTTTCTTATCCAGTCAGGGCCAACAGCTGTGCCCTTGAATATCAATTAAGAAAATGTTCCACCAGCCAGTCGCACACCTTTAATCCTGGCACTTGGGAGGCAGAAGTCCCCTGGTTTACATAGAAAGAGACCCTGTCAACTGCCATCCCCCACCCCGCCTGCCACCACTACCACTACCTAGAAAAAAGAAAATGCTTTACAGTCTGGCTGGCCACAGGCCAATTGATTGAGGCTGAACTCTTGTGTAATTCTAGTAGTTTTGTTGTTGTTGACAGCTGATACTGACCTGAAAAGCTGTAGAGTATTTACCTCTGCAAACTTCCTACTTTAGTAGATAGTGTGGGGTACACAAACACAAAAATCTATCTACAACATGACTGGCCTCAAGGCAACTGTAGTAAATCAGCTATCCTACTGCCACATGAACTACAGAGTCCCATCCACAGGATATGCCCAGACTGCCTCAGATTGTGTCCTGCCTTGTTGTCATTTAGGCAGCAGGTAACACAGCTGAAATGTATAAGACTATCCTCCAGCTCTACCCTCCAGATCTACCCTAGATCCTTTCCTAGACAGCTTTCCCCTTCCCCCTCCCCCCCACCAGGAATGGAGTCTATTTCTTCCCCACCCCCCACAGGGACACACACCATTCATTTGCTCCAGAGACTCTTGCCACACCTTGGAACTGGAAAAGAGCTCCTTGCCTTCCAGTTTGCTGATCTTGAACAGGGTGGCCATAGTGCCTGGGCTTACCCCACCTACAGCTAGTTAGCTATACGAGTGAGCTCCCTTGTAGCCTCTAATGAGGAATCTAACCAGGGAATCTTCCTGCTTCTCACATAAGAGGCAAGGCCAAACTCCATCAGCAGCTGCAGTGCAGTGAATGTGCACTGCCCAATCTTGGCCACTTTCTCTTCAAGGGCAGAGGATGGAGTTTGCAAGGTTAAGTGTGATGCTACACTACCAGGCCAGCAATGCTACCCATGACTGATGTAGGCCTTGCAGTGAACTGAGTGCCTTCAGGGACACCCATGTAGACACAGAGGAGACACTGGGCCATGGAACATATTTCTTGACCTAATGTATTATAAGTCTAGACCTCCCGTGGAATATTACTTTTAAGATGTGTTATATATGTTTATGATGTGGAATATTTGCTTAGTGATGCAAAAGTGTGTTGTGTTCTAACTCTGTGAAGCTGTGTTACTCTGCCTGTCTAAAACACCTGATTTGGTTTTTTAAATAGTCTAATAAATAGCTGAACAGCCAGTAGTAAGACAGGAAAAAGGCAGAATAAAAAGAAGAAATCTGGGAAGAAAGGAGGGAACAGCTGAGAAGAGAAGAAAAGGAGGATACTGGGGACCAACCATACAGCCAGCCATGGGATAAGAAGGAAAGAAAAATACAAAAATAGAGATAGGTAAAAACCCAGATGCATAAGGTAGACAGGATAATATAAGAAAAGCTGGCTAGAAACAAGCCAAGTAGAGAATGAGAGGAGAGAAAACAGCTACAACCTACTGTCTCTAAACACCAAAGAACTTTTTCAGTGCTTATTTTGATTGGTCTTTGAACCCATAATCTTTACCTCTGATGAACCTACTCAAGACTAAAAATTTTTGTGTATGTATATTTTGAGGAGTCTCACTGTCTCATTATGAATGATTCTACTGATAGTAAATGGTCCAGGACACTGACATGTACTGTCCGTAGTGTGTACAGAGGCTAGCTGAATAATATGACTGTTTTGATAACTTACACTTCCTTATTACTGTTTTAATACTCATGCTTTCTGTTACTGTGTAAGAATCAAATTTAGGAAGCTGGAGAGGTAATGCAATGTTTAAAGAGCACTGACTATTCTTGCAGAGGGCCTGGACTCCATTTCCAACACCCGCATGAAGGCTCACAACCACTGTAACTCAAGTCTCAGGGAATATGCCACCTGTTTTGCTATCTGAGTGTACTACATGCATGAGGAGCACATACATGCCTTCAAGCAAACGTTCATGTGTATTAAAAAAATCATTTATTTACATAAAGTATTTTAAAATTAGGTACCATTTTTCTAAGACCAACCTGGGTGTTTTATGTTGTCATCATTTAAAAGTTATTTTCCAGGACCAGAGAGATGCCTCAGTTAAGAGCACTAGCTCCTCTCCTAGAGGTCCTGAGAGTTTAGCTCCCAGAAACCACATGGTGACTCTTAACTATCTGTAATGGGACCTGGTGTCCTCTTCTGGCAGAAAGGTGTACATGCACTCATGTACGTTAGATAGATAGATAGATAGATAGATAGATAGATAGATAGATAGATAGATA